CAAACGTTATTATTTAAAATTTTGTGACTTTGCTAATTAGTACATCCGTTGTTTTCTCGCCTATTGCAATCAATAGCGCTTTGTTCCAGTAAGATACAGAGACAGGGTTCATCTCAAGCATATTTTTTTCTTCTTTCTTCGTGACGTGCACCACACGCTAGCAATGTAATCTGAAACGTGACGGCCGAACGAAAAGTCTTGCAGGATCTGCTTCCAGATTTTAGTCATTGTAAAAATCAGTATTATTACGTTTTTCAAAACTTGGCGTCAGATTCCTTTCAGAAATTATTACATGCGGGATATGGGAAACGTGGTCCTCTAAGTGGCAACATTAGATGTCATTTTGTTCCGACTGCGTATCCAGCAGGGGGCGTTCCCGCAGGGGGCTGACGTCACGCATCTGTATAAGGATACCTGCACGTGCCTTTTAAGAAGTCGAATTCTTTATCAGACATTGTGACTGATGCTGGGCTGACACATTTTGCCATGTTTTTAATATGAAACGCTTCAGTTACCACCCTTTGCCCCGCCGCGGTGGTCTAGTGGCTAAGGTACTCGGCTACTGACCCGCAGGTCGCGGGATCGAATCCCGGCTGTGGCGGCTGCATTTCCGATGTAGGCGGAAATGTTGTAGGCCCGTGTACTAAGATTTGGGTGCACGTTAAAAAACCACAGGTGGTCAAAATTTCCGGAGCCCTCCACTACGGCGTCTCTCATAATCATATGGCAGTTTTGGGACGTTAAACCCCACAAATCAATCAATCAATTTTGGGACGTTAAATCCCAGATATCATCAACCACCCTATTTATTTTCTGCCTGAGAGTTGATAAAATCTTTGTGTCTGTAAAACATGGTGTACACCCACATGAACTGTAATGATTCATCAAATGTGTTCGTGCTGAACTGCGTAATGCTGAGTCGTGCTCCCTCAACCGGGTCTTTATACATTTTCCAGACTGCCCAACATGCGTGACATCAGCCTCAAATTTTGTTATTGTGTTATTTTCATGATGTACGGTTGAACAGAAATCTTTAGTTTTATCTCGTTGATGTTCAGAACCACCGTCAGGGGGCGTTTGTTAGTCCCTAAGATAAAAGTATATTTTGTTGTTTTCAATAAATCTGTTGTGAGTTTACGCCCGTGGTGTCTTCATCTTCTCGTCCATGTGCATGTTGCGCAAAAATATAGCCATAAATCAGTACCAACTCGACCAACTCTCAGTACTTTTGCTAAGTCTCATGTTGAGTTTCAATGGCAGACCTAGATTAAGTTTTTCTGCTCTCTGTGGCGCAATCGCATTCCAGTGGCACATTGTGAGCGTGAATTGTGCTCTCCAGTGGTATACTGGCTGGGGACAGCCACGAATTAGGCATCGCATAGTGGAGCAATAATTTCTGCTCCCTCGAAATCGGCGGATTTCACCGGAAGGTCGCGTGACGTGTTTTGTGGGCCTGCATTGCATTTCTTCTCATCACGACCAGGTGTTACTAATGGCTGGCCGCAGTGAACGACCACTCAAGTGCTTCGCACCTTGTTGCTCTAGAACAGGGTTCGGCAACCTTTCTTTTGAGGCGGAGCGCCAAATTTGCATGAAGCCGACACAGTCGCGGGCCGCGCGGCACATGGGGGGGGGGGGGGGGGGGGAAGCTTTGCAAGCAAGGAGAAAAATTTTGCGAATTACCATCTACCACATTGGAATAAAAATCATCGTTATTTCAGGCGCACAAGTCACGAAGTTGCAATCGACAAACATAGGTTGCAAGCAGAAACCTTATTTGAGACCAAAACTTTCATGTCTGCCTTTAGATAAGTAGTGACAAGAAAAAAGGGGGCATTCTGGAATCACGTTTGAGGCCGCATAACACTGTCTCACGGACAGCAGGCTGTCGACCCTTGCTCTAGAGAACAACAGGTCGCAGACACAAGTTCCGAGTACAGTGAGAATCCTTCAGACTCAGAGAGCAAGTGTGAGGCTGCTGTGTACTAACGGGCATTTGAGGTGATCTTACCTGTCTGTAGAGGGGTTTGAAGTGATTGGCTTCGTCGAGGAAGTCATTCGTAGACATTCGGACGATGAGGTAGTTATCGTAGAATTCTTATGGTTGTAGAGCCGAAACAACAACTTTTTTTCCCTTCTGAAATGCTGTTTTCCTCTATAATTACAATACATTTGCATAATTACATTACATAATTAATTACATTGGCACTTTCGTCTGTCGTGACGTGCAGTGGAGCAGCTCAGTGCAATATTAGCTGCTTCAACGTGCCGATCGCGACGCCATGCGCGAAATGGCCGCAAAGTCTGCAGAAACAAAAGACACGGAATGCTGAGATCATGCGAGCCCCGTATATATCTCATCGTTAGATTTCCGCGTACCAACTGCTTCCGGCCATAGCCTTCGAGACTGCATGCGCGCCGGTCGTGTGGATCATCGGCGCGCGCCCCGATCCAGGCGGCCGTGTGTCGGCGAAGCGCACGCATTCCAAGGGCATATTTAGCGAGAGCGATCTCGCTCGGAGATACGCGCTCTGCTCGCGATCTGCCATTGGAATTCGACATAAGCACACAGGTCTCACCCCAGTATTCACAAACGCTCCTCGACTCGACTTTCATCCTTCACTTGACAGAGTTAAGCACTGCGCCACGGCTCGACTCAAAAAATGACGCTGTACTACACAAGAACCGCACCAGGTTATCGCTGATATGCAGTGACTTGCCGTGCCTAGAGACGGCGCTCCCATCGGCTTTCTCAAGTGAAGGTGAAGGGTTGAGTGAAGGGACGTTCTAGAATACGGGGGTCAGAGATTTTCGCTTCCATGGAAAATGCAGCTGCCACAGCCGGGATTAGATCCTGCGACCTGTGGCAGCGTTATCTGACCATGCTGGAAAAGTGTTGCAGGACCTTTGAACGGATAGCAAAATGTTGCAGAGTATTGTCCATTCTATAGGCTACGGGTGAGGCACTTGTTGGGCGATATTGCTACTTACCCAATTGTGGTTGGCGGGCCGACTACCAACCTTTTGGACTTGTTCTGGCGCAAGCTTCCTAGCATAACCAGTGGCCACCCCCTCACCTTTAACCCCCTTTTTTTTCTTCGTCGTTGTGGTTGTGCAGAGATGTTAAAGTCAACGACTTCTTATACGTATCTTACCTCGTAAAGGGAGCAGCATACAGTATAAGCGTTTCTGATACGCGAATAGTGCGTACTTAGTTAATTAATATGATTTCACGTTTGAGATTTTATTGGTGTAATGAGATTATACATACTGTTGATGGGCACTATCACAGCCCTTGAATACCTTAAAGATGTATTAGGAGACTATACATGGCACTATGTATGTGTAGAGGGAGGCACCGTATAGTGTATGCGGGGACCTCATAATTGTGTGTGTGTGTGTGTGTGTGTGTGTGTGTGCGTGCGTGCGTGTGTGTGTGTGTGTGTGTGTGTGTGTGTGTGTGTGTGTGTGTGTGTGTGTGTGTGTGTGTGTGTGTGTGTGTGTGTGTGTGTGTGTGTGAATGCAATTGTATTAACGGATGCCCTAACTCAAAAGACATCTTGTTTTTGGATAAATACAGGTCCCTATAACCAAAAAAAAAGTTCCAACTTTAATTTGATTCTTGTTTGAGCATTACAGCAGATTATCTATTCCTGCTCTATTTGTCCAGACGTTGATTGTGGATGGCAGGGAATTGTGAGAGATGGCAGAATGAGTCGCTTCGAACAAGGTGTATGCATCGTGTGTACTGCTTGAATCAGAAAAAAAAAAAACGTGCAGTACATGAAAAATATCGGGTGAAAAAAATAACGCAATCGCGCAACCGAATTGCGACATCGATCGGACTCGTTTCAGGACTAACATCTCCAAATTTTAAAACATTTGTCTTTCTCTCACTTTCTCAGACTCCACCAGTTGAGCTGAGCTACTGCGCTAACAGCTTCGGCGATTATTGCATTCCATCGCGTAACGCGCCGCTATGTATAACTCTCTGGCCAAGTTTAAAGCTGCGTGATGCAAAGAAAACAGACAACGCAGTTCTGGAAACTGTAAATAGACCATTTAGAGGGTATACATAAACGAGCTAGAACTACAGATAATTTTCTAGCTCTCTTTTTTTTTTTTGTAGGACAGCGTTGATTCAAGCGGGGGCACGTTATCTACTATATGCCTTTATTAAAGTTAGGAAGAAAACAAAATATTTTTACGGTACCTGGAATTTATGTTGTTGTAGCAGTGTTACAAAAAACGTAATGCTACTGCTAAATTATTTTTTTTTCAAGCTTAAGCGTCTCAGGTTAATATTTATAAACGGGATTTTATTTATTTACATTTCACGTACGTCGCCGTGAGGCATTACGTAGGGGAGGTACACATAATAATTTGACTACATAGTTTTCAATCCAAACAATATTGTCCTCCACTACGGCGTCTCTCATAATCATATGGTGGTTTTGGGACGTTAAACCCCACATATCAATCAATTATCATCCAAACAATAGATTCCACAAATAAAACAGCACTCAAAATATTTTAAGAGAAAAAAAACACTCGAATATTGGTGAGTGAAAACAACGTCACAGTCATGCATTTGTAAACACCCACACGCTTCGAGACAGCAAACCATTCTTAGTGGCAGTGATATTGTAGGAGTTGTTACAATGAAGAAAAAAAGAATTCATTGTCAGTTTCATTGACGAGATCATCCGGTAGACGGTTCCATTCCTGTATTGTTTTTACGAAAAAAGAACTACCGAAAGAGTGGGTTTCGTAACGGATACCAGTAAAATTTCTGAAACCGCCATACGGTAGCGATTCTTTTCTCAATTTCTCTTTGAAATGCGACGCCTAAAATGAACCAGGTCCAGTGAATCACCAAAGCGAGCATTTCCGCTTGTTCTGTGTAAGAGGGCGGCGCGACGCCAGGCGCACGGACTATAGCGTCACGTCCGCCGCCGCGTCGCGCAGGGAGCGCTCAAGTGCAGCGCCGGTCCCCTGCTGTCGTCGTCTGTGCGCTTGCTGGCTGCGAGCGTATTCGCGAGCATGCCTGGCCGATCAGAGCGGCGTGGCACTCACGCTTCCAGCACCATTTACTGGGCGTACCTCCGCGCGTACGATGAACGACGCATTTAGCCGCCTCACTTTCATCCCCGGTAAGCGTCTGCACAGTTCTTATTAATTTAGTAAGCTTCGTCAAATAAGGAGGTCTATACACTCGACCAGAATGGGTGTTTGCTCGGAGCCGTCAGAGTACTCACTACTGCAGAGCGTCGATATAAACCAACCCAGCGTTCTTAGCGCTACCGTAACGTATCGACCAACATTTCCTGCACACGTTTGCACGTGCGTGTATACGTATAACACGTGTAAGAAAAGGATTGAGTGCGATCGGGAAGTCGAGCTCCGATGCATAACTCACGAGTCTAAAAAAAGGTTGAGATTAGCAAGTGCTTTTCGAAAACATTCATATTTTCGGTGTTATCAGGCATTTGAACACGGTCCTGACCGGTAGTTATAGGTCACGACGGCTGTTAGGATGCTGTCCAGAAACGCACGAACACGCCAATTCGCCTTGTGAGAAAGAACGAAATTCCGTGTAGCGCGGAAAGCTCATGAAAGATTTGGTGTAGCCTGTGCCAGCCGTATGTATCGAATGCGCTAAGTCATTTTTGTAAACGTTTAAACGTAAACGCAATGACAGCTCACAAGCCATTTCTCTGCTTAATGCAGGTTAGTTATTACTCTGCTTCGTTCAAGAGCGATTACCGCTGCCTTTTGGTCTTGCCGTGCCCACGGCGTTGTGCTAGTATCGCTTACGAAATGTACTGTGCATGCTTGCTTCTATTGTGCGGTGATGTTGAGACAAATCCAGGTCCCGACATAGAAAAAATGCTGCAAGAACTACTGGTAGGACAAACCAAATTGGTTAAAGATGTGGCGGCTCTTAGAACACAGCAAAATAACATGGAAAAGATTTTCGCTGATTGGGGCCGTCGGTTCACTGAATTAGAAAAACGTGCTGCTCGTGTAGATGATCTTGAACGGACCGTAAAATCTCTAGAATCCAAAATTGTGGACTTAGAAGACAGGAGTAGGCGTTCTAATCTGTTGATCTTCGGTCTTCAAGAGGAAGCCGGTGAAACGGAAACTGAGCTTAAGCAAAAAGTTGTTACCAATATATTTTCCGAGAAATTAAATGTAAATTGTAGTTCGATTGGAAGAATCCATCGTCTAGGGAAGCCGGGTAAACAAAGACCAGTTATCATTTTTTTTCAAAACTTTAATGAAAAACGTGATGTTCTAAAAAACGCCTACAAGCTAAAAGGGACAAGCTTTTCCGTACAAAACGATTACTCGCGTGAAACACTCAGAAAACGTAAATTGCTATGGGACAGTGCGAAAGCAGAAAAAAAAGAAGGCAAGAAAGTCGCTTTGATAGACGAGAAACTGCGAGTCGATAACGATTACTTTATATGGAGCGATCCCACCAACAGCAGGGTTAAAATTCATAACTATCGTAGCACTTCAAAAAAGGACTGACTTCCTCCACCTCGTGATTTCCGAATTTTGAACATTAATGCACGAAGTGTTCTTAATAAAACTGATAAGCTTGAAGCGGTTATTCTTGGGCATAACCCACACGTGGTCGTCATCACGGAAACTTGGTTGCATGACGAAATAGATGATACGGACGTTTTTCCCTCTGATTACCGTGCTTTCCGTCGCGATAGGCATACAAGGGGTGGTGGTGTTGCTGTCTTGGTGAGGCAAGATATCACCGCAGTTCTCCTACGTCAGACAGCTAATCTTGAAACGCTTTCTTTAAAATTTTATGCCGTAATACATCTTTTCTATTATTTGCTGTTTATCGAGCCCCTGATTCCCCTCCGCTATTTCTTCAAGATCTGCATGAACACATGGCATCTTTTGTACACAATAAAATTTTTTTAATAGGTGATTTCAATCTACCGGGCATTGACTGGATTCGCGGTACATATAGCGCTGATGTGAGCGTACACAATGAACATTTGCGTGACATTATTTTGATGCATAACTTACAGCAAGTGGTTACTGAGCCTACACGAATTAGCGCTGCTTCTGCTTCAATACTTGACCTTATATTTATTAGCCAGACTTTTCAAGAGTTTTCTGTTTCTGTTGAACAAGGCATTTCTGATCACGAACTTGTGGCTTTTTCCTGTACCATCGATCTTCCCAAGTCTACTAGTTGTAAAACTGTTTCTGTAAAGGATTATTCACGTGCCAATGATGAGAGCGTACTAAATTACCTTGATGACAGTCTGAGTGCTTTTGGGGGACATGACGCTGCTAAACTTTGGGACGAATTTAAGAATATTTGTATGCACTGTATCGACAACTTTATTCCAAGCAGAACTAAAAAAACATCCAAACCTACTCCCTGGATGACGCGTGAGATAGTGCATGCGAAGAGAAAAGTCAAACGTCTGAGACGACGGGGTATTTCTCGTGACGAAATCGTACCATGCCAAGCTAAATTAAACGAGGCTGTTAGGGCAGCTAAACTTCGTTACTTTCAATTTACCCTGCCTAACTTCATCCGAACTGCTCCCAGCAAGTTTTGGAGCTTTCTCAGTAAAAAAAGTAAACCAGTTGACCATATTATGCACGAGGGCAATCCTGTCGTCGCTAAACAAGAGATCGCTGTTCACTTCAATGCTTATTTTAATAGTATATTTTCAAACTCGCCTGTTCCCCGTTGCCTGAATCACACATTGGTGAAGGATGACTTTAGTTTTGTTTCTTTGCCTGGCGTCTTTTCTATGCTGTTGAATATAAAACAAAATCATCACCCGGGCCTGACAACTTACCAAACGTGTTTCTTCACAGATACGCCGAAATGCTATCGCGTTTTCTTGTTATCATCTTTCGTGCATCACTATCTTCAGCAGTGCTTCCGAACGACTGGCTATCTGCTCGTGTCATTCCTATCCTAAAGAAAGGCGATCCATCATTAGTTCAAAACTACCGCCCCATATCACTAACCTCCTCTTGTTGTAAACTTTTAGAACACATTATTGCTAACGAAATCACTAGGTTTCTTGATGATCGAGCTATTTTAACTCCTATGCAGCATGGATTTAGGAAGGGCCTCTCCACTGTAACCCAATTAACTACTGTAATTCACAGTCTCGCTAGCGTTGTCGACAAATCAGGACAAACTGACATCATATTTCTGGATTTTAGGAAGGCGTTTGATCTCGTGTCACACGCGAAACTAATCGAAAAACTTGTTCATCTGGACGTTCCCTCATACCTAGTAAATTGGATTTCTGCTTACCTCACTAACCGTAGGCAATTTGTTGCAATTGATAATTGCTGTTCGAGTGACCTTGCTGTTACTTCTGGAGTTCCCCAAGGAAGTGTTCTTGGACCTTTATTATTTAATATATACATTAATGACATAGTTGACTCTATTACTGAACCTGTACAGATAAAATTATTCGCTGATGACTGCTTACTCTTTAATGAAATTACCTGCCAGCAAGACCAAATCACCCTAAACTCTAACCTTCAAAAAATTTTAATATGGTGCGAACGCTGGGACATGCAGCTTAATATTGATAAAACAGTATTTATGAAAATCACCAAAAAAATTAATAAACTTTCGTTTACGTATAATCTTGCATCCATGCCTCTTACAGAGGTTGATGAATATAAGTACCTGGGTGTCATCATAACTAATAATCTCAGTTGGAACTCCCATATCTCTCACCTTTGCGACTCAGCCTTCAAAAAACTCTGCTACCTCAGACACAAATTAAAACATGCTCCTCCCGAGACCCGTCTAACCGCTTATACCTCTCTTGTCCGTCCTAAGCTTGAATATGCAGCTATCGTATGGGATCCTTACACTAAAACTAACATCGATGCGCTAGAAAGGATCCAACGTAAAGCAGTAAGATTCATCTTCTCCAAATATCGCACCAGTGACTCTCCAAGTGACCTAATGGCCCAACACAACATTCAGTCCTTGCAACTAAGAAGAAAAATTCACAGGCTTAAATTTCTATTCTTACTGTATAAAAATAAATTGTCTCTTTCTCCTGAACCTTACATAAAGCCTCTCACTGCTCGCCGAACAAGACATCGCCACTCTGCCACATTAACGCCTTACAATACCAGAACCAACATCTTTAAGTATTCCTTTTTTCCTCGAACAGTAGCCGACTGGAACAGCCTACCTCTTAGTACACTCAGCAACACCGACTCTATCGCATCCATTTCATCTTAGATCTAGCCCTTCCTCTTTCAATACAGTGATCCAGTATTTTTTTTTCCCCTGTTTTTTTACTAACTCCTTTGTACATTGATTAGATAGTTCTGTATTGTTTATCTTCTCATATTGTATATTATTTTTCTTTGTATCACATTTCTTTTAGTGCTCATTTACTTGTTAGTAGATTCACTTTGTTGTTGCTTTGTATAGATCCTACTTGTATATATTCTTGATATTTGCAGACTTTGTACTTTTGTTCGTACTTTTCCCCTCCTGCCTGGGCCTATTAAGGCCTGCAGTATTCCTAAATAATAAATAATAATAATAATAGCAACTCAGCACACTTGATAAATAAAAAAAGCAGGGTGAGATGATGAGGGGCGCTTATCGTGACAGTGTCGCATTTGCTGTAGTTCACTTGTTGAAAAGTTTCCAGGACTCAACAAAAGCAATATATTCAGTTTTCAAAAAAAAAAAAAACATACGTGCAGCGAGCATTGCACCTCGCGGTGTAGTGGCTGTTCCGTTGCGCATTTAATTCTAACTCATTGCATTTACAAATGTCTTGAGAAAAAGCATCGCTCCAGTCACTCAGCTCATATAAATAGCCGTAGAAAATAAACATTATTTTCATTAAGTTTGCTTTGTTAACAATATCTTTTTTTACATTTTTTTAAATAAACGATTGGAAGAAATAGACATCGCAGTAACACATGGCGTTAAAAAGTGGCCACTCATGTACAACCATGCATTTATGCAGAAGGTTTTCATTGTGGGAAATTTCAGCGTGTTAATGTACAACACAGATGCGTTAACAGGTCCGCAAACCTGGAAATAAACATACGCAGGGCACGTACTAACTACCAACTTAATATCAGCTACAAAAGGCTTGGT